AGCTTCATAAAAATGTTACAATAAATTTTATACTTCTTTTTCACAGATTTCATAACTTTACAACGATAATACTATTAATATTTCATACCCTAATACTCAAATCGTTCATATATTAAGTGACTATTCACTAAATCATGATATAAACAAAATATAAGATAACAAAAAGAAAAAAAGAAAAAATAACCAACAAAATCGTTTTACAAAAATTATTACGTATTATGAAAAAAATATTGTTTATACAAAAAAACATCACAACTTAAATATAGTATACTTATAAAAATCACAAAATGTGATTTACAGTTGCGTTGCTCCTTTTTTTTTACGCTTCAATAACATACAAATACAAACAATAAAACATAAAGAATACTAACCTGAAGGATCCCATCTACCATCATATTTAATTAGTATAGATAAGAAACGTTAAATCATAACAAAATGAAGATTTTTCAAAAAGAAAACTGAATTTACTCTTCAGTAGCAAAAATTCTGGGGAAAAAACAAAGAGAGAAACTTTGAAGAAAATGAATAAAATTTGATTTTTAAAAAAATTAATTTTAACATATTAGAGTGAATTAAGGGGAAAAAATATTCCTAATTATTTTGAATCTCGTAAGTTTATGTTAATAACAATTATCATCAATGAATTCAAAATTAATGAATACGCATTTATCCTCTCTTTTTTTCAAAATCAATTTATTTTCCTTTTTATCTTTTTATTTTTTTCAAAATGGATTTTTATAATTACTAAAATCTTTTTTTTATCATATTACAACTTGAAATTTTTATTGTTACAACTTAAAATTTTTATTCTACTGCTATAACTTAAAAATATTAATATAATAAATGTCATTTATAAAATTTTCACCAAACTTAATTCACAATAGGAGATTATGAAATCTCACCTTGTTGTGTTTGAATATGACTTTACTATTATTACATTTTGAGTAGATAGTTGATAAATATTATGACATATTTGGCGATATTAGGTTGGCTATGTTGTTGATTTTTCAAGAGAGTAATTTTCTGGATAGCCCCAAAATTAAGAATAATTGATCCGATTCTTTGTAAATTTTCATTAAGCCTTACCTTTTAAATTCTATTCCTAAGCACTCATCAGGGTCTTAAATTAGTATAAATGCTACTCATTTGATTTATGATTTCATGCTTACAAAAAAATGAAATGTGTAACAACTTCAGTTTCACAATACAAACAATCAAATATTATAATCATTAAATTCAAAGTTATAATGTAAAATGAAATTAACCACGAAAATTATTGTAGAAAATAAATAGAAGGGGGATGAGAAACATAGATTTAAAGAAAGGGGATGAGAGGACTAGACAGTTTTCTCAACAATTTGCATAATTCCTAAATTACATTCCACTAACCTTTTTGATGGAAGTGTTCTCCCACCCGCTTTTCATTTCAGATTCCAAATTAACTGACTCTATTGCTTGTTCTCGATCCAATAACACTTGTCAGCCCAATTCACATTGGGCTGGACTTAGTTCATAATAAAATAACTTAATATTTTTATTGGGAAAATACCTAAGTACCCCCTCAACCTATGCCCGAAATTTCAGAGACACACTTATACTATATAGTAAGGTCCT